AAATAAAATCTTTACATAAAGAAGTTGAACTTTTAGACATGTTTTTAAAAATGCTGATTATTGTGTTGTCTTACAGAATTAAATGATCTTGACTATTCCTTGTTCTGAAAGGATGTTAAAAGTCCCACCTCACAAGAGCAGGATGTAATGAAAAGGACTGGAACCTCTTTGTTAGACAGATGCTGTCAGACAAGGAGTGACAATTGCATCAAGGAATACTGGAGATTATTCAGGTTGAATTCAAGTCAATTCCTCTTCTTCATCCTTAAGTTAATCACCCTCTGTCTGTGACTTCAGCAGAAATTAGGTACAGTGGAAAAAATTAAAGTAAGAAATCTTAAGGCAAGACAGCACTTTTTTCTTCTTCTAGTGACTAAGCTTGATACAGTCTCAACCGACCAATAACCAATTTTGAGTTCGGACCAGCCTTTGTGGTTCTTATTGTTATTATAAGATGCCCTTCAGTAATAGTATGTTTATTGGTTTTGGAAAGAGAGGAAGAGAGGTAGAGAGAGAGGGAGAAACATCAATTCAAGAGAGAAACATCGATTGGTATCTTCCATATGCACCCAACCAGGTAAGGAACCCACAACTCAGGCATGTGCCTTGACCAGGAATTGAACTAGTGACCTTTCAGTGTGTAGGTGTGCCATTAAGGGGCACGTATGAGATTGTGACCACTTAATTTGGAGGTTTGGATTAGCAGACAATAAAAACCCCAAGTCGAATATGAATAACTAAGCACTTTATTAAACAAGAGCAAAGTGAAAGCAAGAATCAAGATCGTACATCACCAGACGGGAGTTCACCAACACCCAAACATAGATGCTGGGGAATCCTGGAGACTGCATTCAGGCTCCAACTGGGAAAGTTCAAGCAAAGTGTCCTCTCAGGTGAGATTCCGAAGTCTCACTTTGGTGGCTATGGTTGAATGCGTTTTAGACAAAAGTGGCTATGCACCCAGGACCTTCTGTGACTTGACTAACCAACATGTCCCTCTGGGAGGAGAGCCAGTGCTCCTTGAAGGGACAGTTAAATATCAAAAGCACTTATCTCCCGAGGAGAAGGGTCAGCTCTCCTTGGGAAAGAGCACACCTGCCTATATTTTATTCTTATAATAAAGGTCATGACTTGGGCATAAACAAGGAGGATTCTCAATGTCCCTTTAATCCATCAGTAGAACAGTGCCCAACCACCTGAGCCACATGGGCCAGGGCAAAGCTTAGTATTTTCATTTAAGGAAAATACTGGTGGAAGCGTCAATATCCCCATGGGCAGCTATTCCTCTTTTAACTCCATTTACATCCGTTCTGATTTCACTTGCAGGGTTAGTTTTTATTTCTTTGAGTACTCTGGGATCAGCCACACCCTTCCTCTTTTTATCTTTCTCTTTCAACCACTCCTTTTTGTGAAATGTCGCATGGGTTTATCACTGAGAGACAAGGAGGCAACACAATTGCATATTTTTCTGTCTGTGTGTGACCTGAAGTTCGATGCAGAGCAACCAGTCACTGACAGACATCGAAAGAAGTGACATAACTAGTCACTGTTCATGATGTACATTTCTTATTCTCATGGTGATTTGTGGATTGAAGAGCTAGCAGTGAGGTTTGTATATCATGCAGTATCTCTCAGTTAATACACCATAGTAACAGAAATTTGAACCATATTGGTGGGGAACTGGTGTTATTTAATAAGCTGAAGTAACTGATGTGTGTGTGTGGGGGGGGGGGCCGGGGGGGGGCGGGGCTCTACCAGCAGAGCTCCCCCTGGCTGCCGTGGATGGAAATAATTCTACCAAAACATGATCTGCTTGGGGAGGAAGGCTGACCAGTCTCTCTCAGAGGAGAAAGGTGTTTAGCCTCTCTCTCAATGGGCTTTTATTGAGTTTAGCTTGCATAGGGATGCATATCACAAAAAGGAGGTATGGTTTACAGGTAACATTACTGGGATCACAGGGGTTCATTTGAGTCAGGGTCTGGTAGGGTGACACCAATCGGCTGTAAAACCTTGGGAAACAAATTTATTTTGTACTTGGACCCTTAACATTTGAATTGAGGACATTCTTAGCAAAGCAGGTTTCACAGGATTTATGCATTCTTTGGCCTGATCACCCCTCACTGGGAACTGCTGGTTCAGGCATAGGGCTGCATGCTTCCCTTTGGCATTGTATCAGGCCCGAATCAGGCAGGGGGAGCAAGGCAGCCAAGAGATTAGGAGACTTTTTACAGATAGAATGAGGACGCAAGCTATGATAAAGCCGAGGAAAGACGGTTTTTCCCCCCTTCTCCACAGTGCCCTAAGTCCTTCCCTGGTGGCCTCTTCGTGATCGTACCTGTCTTAGGTTGTTTCTCCCTTGAGGAATCTTACCCAACATTGGCTGACCAGTCATCTGCCCAGGGCTAACCAGTCATTTGCCTGAGGCTAACCAGTCATCTGCCCAAGGCTAACCAGTCATCTGCCCGAGGCTAAGCAGGGTGAAGTAAGTGGGGTAGGGGCTATGCCCCTGCCGTGAGGGTAAGTTTTGTCTCCTTAGTGGCTTATGGTCCCAAGGTCCCCTAACCATGGGGCCTTTTCACCTGTTGGCAGGGTTACAGCCTCTGAAACCAGGCAGGACATTTCCCAACAAGTACACATTACAGCTGAGCAAAACAAGGACTTCCTGTCCTTGTGTTTCACCCCTCCCGGCTCTCATGTTGCTGTTCTCATTTATTTTATTTTTATATATATTATACATATCACAATCCATTGCTATCATTTTTACTTTAAACAATCAACACTTTTTGAAAAGATTTGAGTAGAAACAAGGAAAGTCTTTATATTTATGACCATAATTACCATTTCTGGTTCTCTCCTGTAGATTTAGGTTTCCGTCTGGTAGTTTTGTCTTTCTAGCTCAAAGTACTTCTTCTAATTCTTTTTGTAGTGCAGGTCTGGTTTAATGATGTCTTCTAGCTATTATTTATGTGAACAAGTCTTTATTTTGCCATCATTTTTGAAAGCTGTTTTCACTGGGTCAAGATGTCCAGATGCATAAACCCCACTGTACCCACTTTTGCCCTGAAGTACTTTTGTAGCCGAGGTCCTTATGATTTTAATGCCCCTAGTATTTTTTGATAGCTAGAATTAAATAATTTAATTCTTCATTAGGATTTAGGCATAGGCTTTAACTAAATGTTTTGATTGCTTTCATTGTTATGTAGTTTATTGTCAAAGATTAAGAAAGTATTTTAGTCGTGTTCTGATGGGCTGCCTGTAAAGCAAATTTTAGAAATGTTTAAAAGACACTTTGCTTTTCCCAGCCAAGCAGCTCAGTTTATTAGAGCGTCATCCTGATGCACCACGATTGCCAGTTCAATCCCCTGCTAGGGTACGTACAAGAGCCAACCAATGAATGCATACGTATATAGAACAACAAATTGATGTTTCTCTCTCTTCCCCTTCCTCTCTTTCTCTAAAATCAATAAATAAAAATTGTTTTAAAAGACACTTTGCTTGAGATAATAGGAAAATAATCGGTAGTTAAGGATAAAACAATGATAGCATAAACAATAGTGATAGTTTCAAGATATCTGGGTTCTGCTTTTTGCTCTTAAAGATAAGGTCACGGACACACAATTAAGAGATATTTTGTAGAATCTTGGCTTTTCATCCCCATACCTCTTGTTCTCTCAATATAATTTTGTGTTGTTAATACACTGTTTGTCAAGCAAGAGAAGATAGCTCCAGGGCCATACAGTGTCTGATACAAAACAGTGTTGTTTGTGACTACAGCAACTTGGACTTATCTCTGAGTTCCCTGAAACTACCCCTCCCTTGCTCCCGAGCCACATGAAAACTTCCTAATTTTGCTTTTTGAGAGGTCTTGCTCTTCTGTCCCCTCGCTTTGGCTAATTCGCATGCATAAACCTCTCTTTACATCCAAGCACTGCTGTCTCGATGTTTTGGCCTACAAGGACATCAGGCACATGAACCTCAGTTTTGGTGCGTAGTTCAGCAACCCTTTCCAGACAGTCTATTGTCTTCTGGCTTTTAATTTTTTTCTCTTTATCGGTGTCTTATTTAATGATATCACTAGTGTCCTTTCTGGCTGTGTTTTCAATAATTGACTTTTCTCCTCATTATGGCTTGTATTATTTGCTCCTTTGCATGGCTGGTAGTTTTTTGTTGCATGCCATGCATTTTGATGTTGCCTTGTAGTTTACTTGTTCTTTCTATATTCTTATAAATATTCTTGAGCTTTGCTCTGTGATGCAGTTAATTTGCTTGGAAACAGTTTGATACTTTAAAAAGAGGATGGTTTAATGTTAATCATTGACTTGAATAGTCTTTAGGGCTAATTTTGCTGCATTACTGAGGCTGTAGCCTTCTGAGTACATTACCCCATTACCCCGTGAAAGGCTTTTCCTGATGGGAACACTATTTCCAGTGCTACGTGAATGTCAGGTTGTTTTCCCTCTTCTCATTTTGGGTCATTTATTCCCCAGTCTCCGATAGTTTCCTCACTGACATGCTCTGATCTGTGTGCAGCTAAAGACTTGAGGAGCTCTCTGCAGATTTCTGGAGTTCTCTCTCTCTGTACCTCTTTTCCCTCTATGACCTGTGCAATCTAGTCATCTTGGCCACCCCAGACTTCTAGCTTCATCTCTTCCACCCAGGACACTGCTGGGCTCTGAATAGGTGCCTTCTGCTTGCAGCAGCCAATCACTCTCTCCAGGCAGCAGCTGGAATAATCATAGAGCTCACTGTGCTTATGTCCACTCTCTGAGATTACTATCCAATGCTGCCTCATGTCCAATGCCTGTTTTTAATATAGTTTGTACAGGTTTTCAGTGGTTTGGGGCTGGAGAATAAACTCAGTTCCTGTTACTCCATCTAGGCCAGAAGCCCTAATTCATCTTTTTTACAGGAACACATGAAATACTTGCTAAACACTTTTTGTGGAATTTGGGCAACAAATGAAAGCATATTTACTTGTTCATTGGCTGTGTTCTCCTCAGGCTGTCATGTGGTCATTGCATCCCGTAAGTTTGATGTATTAAAATCTACTGCTGATGAACTGAAGGCCCAGCTGTCTGCCACCCACCAGTCTCAAATCACCCCTATAAAATGCAACATCCGAAACGTAGAGGAGGTAATGGAAATATATCTATATCATTATTCATTTTTAATTTATCATAGTGGTTCCTAAACCTGACTGTGCTTCATGTTTTCCTGTTAGCCATCTGAGATGAAATTCACAAGAAGCAGAGCCTGTGAAGGAGATTCTTTTCCTGATGATTTATTGAGCATGTCACCTCCTGAGAAGGAGAGGAAGGGAAGCGAGATTATAAATTTAGCTTTATGATCTGTGGGTACGGCAGTGTTCAGAGTTACCATCCACAGTGAGACACTATAAGCTGTCCTGGAGCAAACCATGTAGCAGTCCAAGTAGCAAATTAGGGTGATTAACCAATTTACTTTTAATGGTTTTCTCTAGGTAAATGATTTGGTCAAATCCACCTTGGATATTTATGGGAGGATCGATTTTTTGGTGAACAATGGAGGAGGCCAGTTCCTGGCTCCTGCAGAGGACATCAGTTCGAAGGGGTGGCACTCCGTGGTCGACACCAACCTGTCGGGCACCTTCAACATGTGCAAAGCAGGCAAGCGTGATCAGTAACCCCAAATGCAGTGTGTCTTTGTTTAACCATCATAGGTAATCCCGAAAGAGAAAATGCTGGGGGCTGAGAAAGCTCCATGTCATCAACATTCACTGCCCTGAGTCACTCCCGTACCGCACGGGCTTCTAAATGGCTACGCTTTGGGAGAGTAACTTGGCAATGTTTATCAAATATGAGTATCCTTTGATCATTTTATTTTTAGGAATTATGATAAAATGATTAAGGATCTATACAAAGATACTGCTACCAAGTTGTTCATAAAATTCAAGAAAGCTGAAACACATTGTTTTTAAGAGGTAAATCTATTAAATCTGTTATAGGGACCTGTTAATTCAGGAAGGTCTTTAGGAAGAATACCAGACAAAGTCCACGTTCTTTCAATGACTAATTAGCATGACATAGCCTTTGGATTACAGCTTATGTTTTAATCATTGAAATGTTTATACTATCCAAAGCAATCTATAGATTTAATGTAATTCCTATCAAAATACCAATGGCATCGTTCACAGAACTAGAACAAATAATCCAGAATTTATATGGAACCACAGAAGACCCCGAATATCCACACCAATTTTGAGACGAGAACAAAGTTGTTCTTACATTCTCATAAAGTAGGTTTTATGCTACCTGATATCAAACTATACAAGTGTATTGTAATCAAAATAGGGTACTACTGGCATAAAGACAGACACATAGATCAATGCTAGAGAGCCCAGAAATAAATCCATACCTGTAAGGTCAGCTAACATATGGAGAGGGAGGCAAGAACATACAATAGGGTAAGGATAGTCAAGTCAATAAATGATGTTGGGAAAATTGGACAGGTACATGCAAAAAAAGTGAAACTAGACTACTTAAATGTAGGGCTCAAAAGCTTAAAAATCCTGGAGGAAATCATAGGCAGTAAAACACCAGACATTTCTCTTAGCAGTATTTTTTTCTAATATATTCTCTTGGGTAAGAGAAGCAAAAGAAAAAATAAACAAATGGGAAACATTTGTTTCATCAAACTAAAAAGTTTTTGTCCAGCAAAGGGAACTGTCAATGAAATGAAAAGACAAGATATTAAATGGAAGAACATACTCACCAATGATACATTTGATAAGGGTTGAATATCCAAAATTTATAAAGAACTCAAACAACTCAATATCAAAAAAAGCAAACAATCCAATTAAAAAATGGTCAGGGGACCTGAACAGACATTTCTCCAAAGAGGACATACAGCAGGCCAATAGACATATGAAAATATGCTTAACACCACTAGTCATCAGAGAAATTCAAAATAAAGCCACAATGAAATATCACCTTACACTTGTCGTAATGGCCAGCTGTCATCTGTAAATCAATGAATAAGTGCTGGCGAGGATGCGGAGAAAAAGGAGCCCTCGTGTACTACTGGTGGGAATGCAGGCTGGTGCACCACTGTGGGAAAAGTATGGGGTTGCCTCAGAAAATGGAACTGCCTTATGACCTAGGAATTCTACTTCTGGGCAGTTATCCGAAGAAACCCAAAACACTAATTTGCAAGAATATATGCACCCCTATATTGTTCACAGTGTTATTTACAATAGTCAAGCAATGGAAGCCGCCCAAGTGCCCATTAACAGACTAGTGGTTAAAAAAGCGCTGGTACATATATACAACGGGTATTACTCAACCATAAAAAAAATGAAAACTTACCATTTGCATAGCATGGATGGACCTAGACTGTATTATGCTAAATGTAGTAAGTCAGTCAGAAAAAGACAAATAGCATATGATTTTACTTATACGTGGAACCTAAAGAACAAAATAGTTGAACAAAATCGAAAGAGACTTAACAGACACGGAGAACAGACTGATGGTTGCCAATGGGGAGGGAAGTTGCAGGGACTGTGTGTAAAGGGCAAAGCATTAAGAATTAAAAAAACGGTTGTTACAAAATAGTCACAGGATGTAAAGTACATCATATTGATTGTAGTCAATCATATTGTAACAAGTACATATGATGTCAGGTGAGTCCTTGACATACACGGGAAACTCTGTGTCAGGTACGTGACTGTCTAACCACTGTGCTGTAGACCTGAGACGAAGACAAAATAATATTGAATGTAAAGTGTAATTGAAAAAAAAAGGTTATGTTGCATTGGCAGTGAAAGTAAACTCCTGATGTTGGGTTAACTCAGAGGTTTTCTTATAAACTCTCCAAGACATTTTTATGATGCACAGCTAGAACAAGTATGATTCTGAGCCAAAGGATCTTTAACATGGGGTAGGCTATATATTATTAGTATCTCTAAGTCAAAACTCTTGAACCAGGGGTGTCCAATCTTTTGGTGCCTCTGGGTCACACTGGAAGAAGAGTTGTCTTGGCCCACACATTAAGTACACCAACACTAATGAACACAAAAAGAGTCTCATATCGTTTAAAGTAAATTTATAGTTTGGTGTTGGGCCGCATTGTCAGCCATCCTGAACCACATGCAGCCCATGGGATGTACAGCTCTGTGACATTCCCAGGCTTAATTTTTATCTAACTAGCAATAGAAAGCTCTCTATCAGTTGTGACGCAGGCTTGGGTGCTCTTGTGTAAAAACCTAGAAAAAACCCCAGGAGATTAAATAAGTCAGTGACGGGGTTCAGAGTAGGCCTCCCCAGTATGTGCTGGGTTAGCATGAGTATTAGCCAGGGGATGGGTTTGGCTCAGAGGGGCACAGAGTAACTTTTTGGGGGTGACAGAAATGTTTTAAAACTGGATTTTGTTGATGGTTGCACAATTCTTTATATTTTTAAATTACTAAATTGTATACAAGGTAGCTGAATTTTATGATATGTAAATTGTACCTAAACCAGGCTTTTTATTAAAAAATGTAAATTTAAATTTAGCATGTATCACAGAAGCGGCATGCCGGAGCAGGGGGTCAGAGAAAAGTAAGGGAACTGTGCACTATGATGGTCATTTGTCTGTTTCTTGCAGTTTACAACTCTTGGATGAAAGAACATGGAGGATCTATTGTCAACATCACCATGCTTAGTAAAAATGGATTTCCAGGAGCTGCGTAAGCATTTTTATGTATTTTTTTCTTGTATGTCAAAGGTTCAGAAATAGCCACAGTCAATCAATTTATCACAGAAATAGGAGTTAGTAAAAATTTACTTACACCAAAAAGACTTTGCACACTGAGAGCACTCCAGCCAAAACATGGAATGAGGCTCAGAGATACATTGTTGTACAGTGAGAGAGCAGTGACTGTTTATTCTTCATACTGATTGGTTACAGTGTTTGCATTTTAAGCGGTTACCTCATATACACCGAAATCATTAATCCTTTAATGACTTGTGATCTCAATACTTAGCATTTTGCTTATTTGAACTGTTTTATTTTTTATTTTTTTTATTTTTTATTTTTAGAGAGGGAAGGGAGGGAGAGAGAGAGAGAGAGAAACATCAATGTGCGGTTGCTGGGGGTCATGGCCTGCAACCCAGGCATGTACCCTGACTGGGAATCAAACCTGCGACACTTTGGTTCGCAGCCCGCGCTCAATCCACTGAGCTATGCCAGCCAGGGCTTATTTGAACTTTAAAAATATAGTTCTGATGAGTTTCAAGGTGGTCGTGGAGTAGATGGATTTTGAATGCACCTCCTCCAAGGACCAGTCTGGAAATACAACTAAACAACTTTCGCCCTGAAAAACCAGCTAAAGACGTGCTGAAGAGGAATCTTGTAACCAAGGGTTTGTAGAAGAAGCCATGAGACTGATAGGAAGGGCAGTGATATGAAAAGGGCTGGCCCCACTCCCACGGGCAGACAGGGGCTGAGGTGCTGGAGGGATTACTCAGCTGTGGGTGGTTGCCCCCGAGAAGTGGAAGCATAAACCCCAAGCCAGGCTCTTCAGCCCAGAGCACCAGAGCCAGGAACAGGCATGCTAAGCAGCACGATTTCTGTTTCCAAGGAGATGTGGAGTCTGCTGAAGTCACAGGCATACTCTTAAAGGGCAAATGCACAAAATTTTGCTTGCAACCACTCACCCTTGGCTCCGGCCAAGGGAAAGTGGTACAGACTAGAGTTGCCTGAGGAGAGTTTAGGGATTGTGGCTCTGGGGGGCAGCCATGGGGATCCAGGTGCTGAGTCATACTCAGATACCCCAGTAGCCCTTTTCCCTGGGAGGAGCAATGTCCTCCGAGCAGCAAGAGGAAAGCAATTACCCCACCCCCTGGAACACCTCTCTCTTCACTAGGTGGATCTTAAGCTTGGCTGAGGAGTCAGCAGCATACGACAGGGTGTAGAAGTCTGGGCAGATTCAAGGGGTGTCAGTGACTGACTTAGAGCAGGGCTGTTGCCCCAACTTTCCTGTGAACCTGACTGGCACTTCCCCCTCATGGATGGTCCAATGGAAACACCGTCCAGGCATCTAGTAGACCAACCTCTGGGCTCTGTAGGCCTCACTCACGTGATTACTAGGGGCTCTGCCCTGCCAAGGTTAGGGCAAAATCTGGGATAGACTCAGTCATGTGGCCATGGTGTGAGGTACCACACCTACCACCTTTCCCAATGTCTGAATGGCACCTCCCCCTCTAGTGACTGAGCCTAATAGGCAGCCACCCAGCAGAGGCAGATGGAGGCAGATCCCCTGGTGCCTTGGGGCATTTGCTGGCCTGCCCCCTTGCCAAGTGCTGGCAAAAAGCCAACCGAGAAAATGCATGGAGCCGTTGGGAGGCTTAATATGCCTTTATTCTGGGATGGGGCAATCCACTCACACCACAAGCTGCGTGTCACTGTGTGTCCCCACATGTTGCACAGCAGGAAGTCCCAACTTCCTTATATACTACATGCACACAAAGCCAGCAGGGTGCCAAGATGTTATACAACAGAGCTTCATTCGGCACATGCAAACCCACGCAAGGCTATGGGAACAGTTTATCGGACCCAGTCTCAAGGCTGTGGGAACACTACTTATCAGGCCCCTTCTGAAGGTTATGGGAGACCGCTTCCCTTAGTTACCCAGACCTCTGGGTGAGGGATCCAGACTTACTCCTTTTACCCTACACAACACATCCAAAAGGGAAACTAATTAGCCACTAAACCCTGCTGAGGCAAATACTGCTTTTTTCTCTTTTAATTTTTAGCTTCTTCCTGTTCTCTTTCTTTATTTTCACCCTTTTCTTTTTCTGTGTTCTTACTCTTTTTTTCATTGCTTTCTTTCTTTATTTTTATATACTTTCATTTTTTTTTATTTTAAATTTGACTTAATGATTTTTTTTAGTTTCTTTATTTTCATTCTTTTTTTTTTTTCTTGGCCGGCATCTGCACAGCAGCTCGCACATCATGGTTGGGTGATTGGGGCTGAGCCTCACAGTCACCCTGAAAGTCCATCTCATGCATGAACAGGCCAATAGCAATCAAGACCGAATTACAACAGGAAAGGCCACATAACCCACACAGGACACATTCCTAGAGCCCCCAGCTCAGGACATCAAGGATATTTCACCGCTAGGTCCCACAGGACACTTACTATGTAAGGCCACCCCATGAAGACTGGGAGTCCAAGATCTATCTAATACATAGAGACAAATAGAAAAAAAAACAGCCAAAATGGGAATGCAAAGAAACAGGCCCCAAATGAAAGAACAGGAGGAATCTCCAGAAAAAAAAGCAAAATGAAATGAAGGCAAGCAACCTATCAGCTATAGAGTCAAAGTAATGATTGTAAGGTTGCTCAAGGAAATTAGCCAGAACTACAACAATATGAAAAAGGGCATAGAAGCCATGAAAAAGTACCAGTTGGAAATGAAGAACACCATATCTTATTACATCAAGAATGTGCTGGAAGGAATAAAAACAGGTTATGTGAAGCAGAGGATCGAATCAGTGATTTGGAAGAAGAGGTAAGAAAAAAGGATTAAAAAGAAGGAGGATAGTTTAAGGGAACATTGGGACAGCGTGAAGCATAATAACATCCACATCGTAGGGATATCAGGAGGGGAAGAGAGACGGCAAGGGATCAAGAATAATTTGAAGAATAATTACTGAAAACTTCCCTACCTGGGGGAAGATAAAAGACACATCAGTCCAGGAACACAGAGATTCCCAAACAACGTGAACCCTAAGAGGCCCACGCCAAGACAGGTCATAATTAAAATGGGAAAGGTTAGAAGAAAAGAACGAATCTTAAAAACAGCCAGAGGGAAGCAGTTAGTTACCTACAAGACTGTCATGTGATCTCCCGACTGAAACATTCCAGGCCAAGAGGAACTGCCGCAAAATACTCAAAGTGATGATAAAATATTACAGCCCAGAATACTTTACCCAGTGAGGCTATCATTTAGAACTGAAGGAGAAATAAAGAGCTTCTCAGACAAGATAAAAGCTAAAAGAGTGTGTTGTTACCAAATCAGCATCACAAGAAATGTTAAACCTGGGAAAGTCATGGCTGATCTGAGAGATACAAACAAACTCTTTTCTCAAATATTGTTACATTTATCAGGCACATATGTTCAAGGTCATGGCTTACTGTGCATTTGTATGTGACTAATGTTAAGCCATGATTTTTAAGCCATCACATTGGTTATAACATGTGTTTTGTAAGGTTATGTGATATTCAACAGTAAGTTGTGTCTGAGAGATACTGCAAACTCCGAAATCAATGTTGGTGTAATTTTTTTTTTTCCATGAACTTTGTAGTCAGTGTTGTGGTTTTTTAAATTTACCATTGAAAATGGGTGGTAAAATCTATGTATTCAATAATCCAAGAACTATTGAAGAACTTTAGCAAATGCTACTTGAGTTCAATGATGAGGATAAAAGAGTTGAGTGTGAAAGTGAAAGTGATTTAGAAGATGAAGATTATGTGGAGTTCATTCAGAAGATTTGGGTACCAAGCAAGATATTCCTAGTGAAGCAAATGAAGATGAATTGGACATGAAATTGTTGGGAATGGGCAAAGAATCCAAACGGAGGAAAACTCCAGTAGGAAGACGAATCAGTAATCAGCTGCAGAATATTTTGTGTCAACTTCTGTTAGTTTGGCCAAATGCAAAAAATGCCAAGACAGAACTTGAAACTTGAAACTGTTTTATCACAAATGATATTTTAGATCCAATCTTACTCTATATGAATAAACACATTGACTCTCTCTTGATCTGGTTTTCATGAGAAAGTGACGCTGAATGAGTTAGGCAAAACCGAACTGAAGGCGTCTTTAGGCCTCTTGTATCTAGCTGGTTTATATAGCAGTAATTGGCTAAATGTGAGGTGTTTGGGGGCTACAGGTGGTACTGGCATTGAACTTTTTAGATCTAAGTTACCTTTATGGAGATTTAGATTTATTAATAATTGTAACAGGTTTGATGACAAACTTACCTGCTCAGAACACCTGAAAGTGGATAAAGTAGCAGCTGTGAGAGTCATTTTCTCTGCATTTGTAGAAAATTGTGAAGTATGTTATTCTATGGGATAGAATGTAACAATAGACAAAATGTTACCTGGCTTTAGAGGCAAGTGCGGGTTCAGAAAATAATTCCATCCAAGCCCAGTAAATATGGTACAAAATTTTTTTCTATGTCAATTTAAAAGTCTTTTACAATGGAAATCTCGAAATATATGCCAGTAAGTACCTCAAAGGTTCTTACTTGATTAGTAATGAAACAGCAGAGGTAATCAATACACTTGCAGAACACATTTACTCATCAAGACCTAAAATTACAGCAGATAACTGGTTCACAGTAAGGCTACACAGTGAGAGATAAAGACAATACATAATGATAAAAGGAGCAACCCAACAAGAGAATATAACTTCGGGAAACATATGCACCTAACATAAAAGCACCTAAATATGTAAAGCAAATCTTGATGAGCTTCAAGGGAGAGCTCAACAAGCTCAGTAATACAGTTGTAGTAGGGGATTTTAACACCCCATTGACGGCAATGGATACATCTTGCAGACAGGCAATCAACAAGGAAATGGTGACTTTAAATGACACACTAGAACAGATGGATTTAATTGGTATCTTCAGAGCATTTCATCCCAATGCAGCAGAATATACATTTCTCTCAAGTGCACAGGGAACATTTTCTAGGATAGGCCACATGTTAGGACACAAAACAAATCTCAATAAACTTAAGAAGATGGAAATCATATCAAGCATCTTCTCTGACCATCGTGGTGGTATCAAATTGGAAATCAACCACAGGGAAAAACGGAAAAACACAAAAAGTCATAGAGGCTAAATAACATGTTACTGAATAAGGAATGGGTTAGCAGTTAGATCAAGAAGAAATCAAAGGTACCTTGAAACAAATGAAAATGAGAACACACAAATTAAAATGTATGGGACCCAGGAAACAGCACACAAAGCCCTTTTCTGTGAGGAGGACCTAAGCTGTTTGCCCACGGAGACCCCTGGGCCCCAGGGCCACCACGTGAGGTCCCGCCTCTCAAGAAAAGGCTCAGCAGCCCCATGGAAACCCTGAGGAAGCATCACACATTCAGAAACAAACGGGTAGCCGTCCAAGAGAGGGCACCAGCAGAACTGAGAGAGGTGGAAAACCTGAGACAGAAATTACTCTCTGAATTTGAGCACCTGATCCAGTTTGCACATCGTGAGCAAAAGAGAGTTGAAGGCTAGCAGAGAATGCCACCCCAAAATGTGACTATAGGGGTTCAGGACGTCCCCCCCAAAAAAATGCTGCTTTGACATACTGTTTTGAGCCGTTGACACTTGAAAAACAGTGGACGCAGGGAGAGACTTTCTCTGGACTTCCCTTATCTGCCAGAAGGCAGATCCTCCAAAAGGAACTCTACTACCATAAACCCCCTCCTCAGGAGTTTCATCAACTACACAAGACTAACTCTTGTGCTTTGGCTTTAATACGGGAGGACTCGGTTCTTCCTCCTTGTTCAGACAGAGGCTCAAAAACACAGCGTCTCAAGACAAAGATGTCCTTGTGGGGCTCTGAAAGGTCATTGACACACCTGTCAGTACAGTTAATGAGAGAAATGTTCAACTAAAGCTAATTATAATGTTTTATATTTTGTCTTTTAAAGGCATAGTGGAGCTGCCAGAGAAGGTGTTTGCTGCCTCACCAAAACCTTAGCTTTGGAATGGGCCAGAAGTGGAGTAAGGCTCAACTGTGTTGCCCCGGTACGTGAATGTTCTAGGTGAACAAATTGTACTCTTCTGACTCCATTTATGTTGATGACAGAGGTATTTGTCACTATGCAAGTATACTAGAAAAGATTGGCTTTTGAAAATAGATCAGAAGTATTCTTTGATTTATAAGTATTTTTCGATTTACAAGTATTCTTTGATTTGATTGCTAAGGTTAAATTAAGGCTTGACTGGTTTTTAAGAGAGGAGCATTCAGATAATCCATGTATAGTAGTGGTTGACTGTATTTCTTTGACAGTATTGAGAAAATTTAATGTTAGAAACATTAACTTTTCTATTAGACTTAAACCACTTAATTTTTGGTATTGGTTGGTAGACTGCCTTGATGTCTTTACAATTAAAATGTAATCTTATGTACTTTATGTTGTTCCTGTTTTATATCTAAACACAGGGAATCATTTATTCCCAGAGTGCTTTTGACAACTACAGTCACATGACACCAGAAGTAATTACAGGGTACATTCGGGCAATCCCAGCTAAAAGATTTGGAGTTCCTGAAGAGGTAATGTGTATTTCTGACACTGATCAGAATTGCTTTGTTTCATACTTTGGAACTTGGTAACATTTTGGTGTCCTGTTTACGGAGTGTGATTGGCCGATAGAGGTGATCGCTCCCGATGTCACCAAACCATTGCTTTTCTGGCTCTGGGGGAATATCCTGGTTGTGATTTGAGTACTCACAGCAGTCTTCATTCAGGAGCAAATGTGGTGTGAATTAAGAATACCATGTTTTTATCGTTTCATTGCACTTGTCAGCTATGTTATTTTATCACATGACATTTGTTGGTGGTACACAGGACCGTAGACAAGTTAGATGAGTATGACTTATATGACATTCCATACACAACTTCTGTAAGGTGGCCAGATTAAGTATGGAAAAAAGCAATAGTTTTCTTAACTGTTAGTTACAACAGTCTTTTTTTAAAAATTAAATGTATTTTATTAATTATGCTATTACAGTTGTCTCAGTCTTTGCCCCTTTGCCCGGTACCCCCTTTCCCTCCAGCATTCCCTCTCCCTTAGTTCGTGTCTGTGGGTCATACATATGAGTTCTTTGGTGTTTCCACTTCCCATACTATTCCCAACTACCCCGTCTATTCTGTACCCATCAGCTATGCTTTTTATTCCCTGTACCTTTTCCCCTGTTCTTCCCGCTACCCCTACCCACAGACTACCCTCCATGTGATCTTCATCTCTATGACTCTGCTTCTGTTCTAGTCACTTGCCCAGTTTCTTTTTCTTTTTCTTTTTTTAGATTGTTGCTGATAGTTGTGAGTTTGTTGTCACTTTACTGTTCATAGTTTTGATCTTCTTTTTCTTAGATAAGTCCCTTCAACATTTCATACAAAAAAGGGCTTGGAGGTAATGAACTCCTTTAACTTTACCTTGTCTGGGAAGCACTTTATATGCCCTTCAATTCTAAATGATAGTTTTGCTGGATAGAGTAATCTCAGATATAGGTCCTTGCTTTTCATCTCTTTGAATACCTCTTGCCAGTCCCTTCTTGCCTGCAAAATTTTTATTGAGAAATCAGTTGATAGTCTTATGGGCACTCCTTTGTAGGTAACTTTTTTCTTTTCTCTTGCTGCTTTTAGGATCCTCTCTTTATCTTTAACCTTTGGCATTTTGATCATGATCTGTCTTGGTGTTGCCCTCTTTGGCTCCAACTTGGACTCTGAACTGCCTGAACTTTTATGTTTATTTCCTTCACCAAATCGGGGAAGTTTTTCTTCATTATTATTTCAAATAAGTTTTTAATTTCTTGCTCTTCCTCTTCCCCTTCTGGCACCCCTATGATTTGGATATTGGAATGTTTGAAGTTGTCCTGGAGGTTCCTAAGCCTCTCCTCATTTTTTTTTTTTTGAATTCTTGTTTCTTCTTTCCTTTCTGGATTACTCTTTATTTCTTCCTTTTGTTCCAAATTGTTGATTTGAATCCTGGCTTTCTTCCTTTCATTGTTGGTCCTAGTATGTTTTTCTTTATTTTACTTTGTATAGCCTTCACTTCTTCCTTTGTTTTGTGGCTACTCAATCATTTCTCTGAGCATCTTGATCACCAGTGCCTTGAGCTCTGCATCTGATAGGTTGGGTATCTCTGTGTCGCTTAGTTCTTTTTCTGGAGTTTTGATTCATTCCTTTATTTGGGCCTTATCTCCCGGTCTCCTCATTTTGGCAGACTCCCTGGGTTTCTGCGTATTAGGTAGAGCTGCTTCAATTCCCATGCTTGGCATACCTGTTATGTTATAAGGGTGGATTTATTTTTTTATAGTTTAATATATTTTAATAGCAAACTTATAGGAACAGCACAGAAGACAGACAAACATACTTTCATGTAGGACAACTCAGTTAGAAAAGTATAGTGAATGGATGGAATCTACTGTATGATAGAAATGCTACAAACACCATTTAGTTGCCATCAATAAGAAATTTACTTGTTTTTAAAAAATCCAAATGCTGTCATTGTCCAGAAAAATTTAACAGGTTTATTTATATTGTTATGAAGTTGAACTGCTTGAAATGTATTCACTGAAATACCTTGACTTGCATTAATGCTTTATGTCCCTGCATTTATATTTTTAAAAAATCAGACACAAATGAAAATGGAAAAACAGCCAATACCTGATTTCTGTCCCCTATTTTCCACTTGCAATCATATACTTAGGTACCTTTTTGACCCCATGGGAAAAAAATCTAATGTTCAGAACTACCAATAACAGGAAGAAGAAAATTGTTTTTCGAAGAATGAAATGTTTCCCATCATACTGGATTCTTAAGCACATTCTCCACATATGCGGCATGCTAGCTGGATGTCTTTTGGCATAATTGTTACACGTTTGGCATGGATAGCACACAGGTTGGTGTCTTCAAAAAGGCCAACCAGATAGGCTTCACTTGGCTCCTGCAAAGCACCGATAGCTACACTCTAGAAGTGCACATCTGTCTTGAAATCCTGAGCAATTTCTCGCACCAGATGCTGGAAGGGAAGTTTGCGAATCAGAAGTTCAGTGTGGGTTTCTGATAACATCTAATTTCACGAAGTGCCACAGTACCAGGCCTGTAATGGTGAGGTTTCCTCACCCCTCCAGTAGAGGGCACATTCTTGCGAGCGGCTTTGGTAGCCACTTGCTTCCTCGGTGCTTTACCACCCGTCAATTTGCAGGCAGTCTGTTTTGTACGAGCCACAGTATAGGGACCTCTTTACTTACCCCTCTTCGCCTTAGGCTGGAGCTCAGCGAGCTGGAAGAGGTACTGGCGTTAGAGAGCTAAGGCAGCTGCGAACACAAGGGAAAGATCTATGGCTGAATTGGAGCTGATTGGAGAGAGTCTTCCTAACTGGTTGATGTTCAGAATTAAAGTGCTTTCATTGATTTGTTGACTAACAAAACATGTTCACAGGCAAGTTGCCACTGATTGGTTAAACTGGGTAAAATGAGTCTGGTGGTTAATCTCAGACCTCTCTACCCTTCCCCAAGGATATGGGAACTTGTCAATATAAAAACGAAAATAGTAAGTCACATGTGTAATTTTAAGCTTTCCAGTAGCCACCTTAAGAAAAGTAAAAAGAGGTGAACTTAGTTTTAATCATATATTTTATTTAACCCAATATATTTAAAACATTACTATTTTAACATATAATCATTATGAAAACTATTAATGAGATATGTTACATTCTCTTTTCATATCAAGTCTTCAAAATCTGGTGTGTGTTCTACACTTACAGCACATCTCAATTCAGACTAACCATATGGAAAGTTTTGGGTAGTATCGTATGGCTAGTAGCCTCTGTTTTGGACATTTCAGCTCCATACTAGCTGCTGGGGACCCAAGGATGGAGATAAAGCTATGCCTGCCCTCCAGCATCTCGGAGTCTCAAAGAGGCATAGCCATGTGAACAAATATGGCTACAGTGCCATGTACAGGACCAGGACTAGAGTGAGGCAAGCCAGCCACGGACACAAAGTTAAAGAACATGCTCACTCTCAGGATTGTGCCAGTTCAGGGTCTGCCCCAAGAGTGAGTGCCTCCTTCAATGCTGCACCCTAAACTCCTCATCAGCCTCACCCAAGTCCAAGCCCTGCTTGGGAGCCTGATAAGATGGTAGATTCTGGGGCCCCAACTCCGGAGCTTGCAAACCAGAAGCTCTCCTGTAGGGTCTAGGAATCTGGAGTTTCATCAGGCATCCCTAAGAATTCCGATGCAGATGCTTAGGATCACCCTTGGAGATGCTCGGCCTGTGCCAACAGCCTCACATCCAGTTCCTTCACATCTGGTGGAATAGTCTCTCTCTTTTTCTTTGGTTTTGGGAGTAGATGTTGTTGAACTGATCAGTGAACTGTCTGAATTTTTAGAGGATGCACTGGGATTCTGAAGTGCCTCTTGCAGAAAGTTCTTGTAGTCTGAGTTGCTGGGCTTTTGGTTTGGAGGACCATAGAGCACCATGTTATTGGTTTCTAGACACACTAATTATTTCAGGGACACAGATATAAAAGGCACACGGTGGTGATGAAAACTAACATTTTGTTGGGCAATCAAAGGTAGGGAACAAACTGAGTTGTTTGCCAAACCTAAGCCCCGTGTTTACTTTGGCTTCTTCACATCGTGTAGCTTATGTAACACTGCCAAAGGCTCCGTCCTGACTTGCCATCTTCACCCTAACCTCTTACCTGATTTTCCTGATGCTCAAATAAAATAGGCGGTCGTCTATGTACTGTCAGGTTATGGGGTATGTACGCTGTAGAATCCATGTGGTAGTCATGTGCTCTGCTCTGTGTTTACTCAGGATTGGGGAGCAGCCAAAAATGAGATGTGTCTACTTTTCGGTGTGTATGCGTGTGTTTCCATTTCCAGGTCTCCTCCGTGGTGTGCTTCCTGCTCTCTCCAGCAGCTTCCTTTATCACCGGGCAGGTCGTGGCTGTGGATGGGGCCCAGTCTTTGTATAATTGCCTGTATGATGTACCAGGTGAGCAGTCAAGAAATGAATAGTCACTCGCTTTATGCCTTTTCATGTTCACATTTTCAAAGTGTCTTAATTAAGAAATAAGTTTTCTCTTATAGCGCTTCAGAATGTGTAAAATATTTCTATTCATGACATGATTTTTAAAGGAAATGTTTCTCATCACAAAAAACGTGTAAGTATCTTTATTTATAAAACTTAGCTTTACATATTTAAAAAGTTTTTGTGTGTATAGAGGTTGGTAGAATTTAAACCTTGAAAAAATTTTCGGTATGAGGATATATGTACAAGGAGGAGATAGAATAAAGGCAAAAAGTTCCTGCGTTTTTAGACTGAATTCTTTTGTTCTTCTAGTAAGTGATTTGTGTATCTGAGCGGAAGAATCAGACCTATTAGGTCGAGAGGGGTGTCATGGTGCTATTTTATACTCTTTTTGGGATATATAGTGAATGAAACTATGAATTTGCTGTGTTCTTTTTTTTCACATACCAAACAGTAGTTGTATAAGGCTTTACCAAATGTAGATATTACACAGAAATATCTACGTGTGTATATATGTATGTGTGTACCTCATGGCTGGACCAGAAAACTTGGGGTTTGAAAGTGTCCTAAAAATCAGTCCAATATCCTAGTTTTACAAATGACAAAATAAATCTACAGAAATTAAATGGCACATCCAAGCTAATCACCCCCAAAATATAGTAAAAGATATAAAGTTCAAATGTATTCAAATTGTTGCTCAAGATAGTTGATTAAGTGGCCAGTAGAAGATTAAAATATATCTTTGAATTTCATATCAGCAACCCAGGTCCCACCTACTCTTTCATGTGCTATCAGTCTAACCAAGGCTAAAGACCTTGCATTAATAAATGATTAGTATGGAACTGTAGCATTACTTATTATCTTCTCCTCCCACATGTATTTCTTTGCTAAAGACATCGATGTAGTGATGGACATAAGATACTTTGGTTTTAAGGATCTCAGTTGGAGACACAGAAATGCCTACATGTTTATGCAGAAAACATGTTTTAAATTTTGTAAGGAAAGCAGCCATGTCGATTTTTTTAACCTTATCCCCTCCCAAAATTATGATTGGGAATGTTCAGCCTCTCACTGTAGTGTTTTCTTTAAGATTACCAGCCCTGGAGTGAGAATGCCTGGCATGCAACGTGGCTCTACTCTTATTAGCTGGATGACCTTAGGAAGATTACCTTCTGTGAGCCTCCATTTTCTGTTCTGTCAAGTGGGGTCACGTATAGTATTGATTCCGTGAGCTGTCGGGAGGACTGACTCAGATAATGCACATTTAAAGCCCTGGGTCAGCAGGAGGCTTTCAGATGCAACTCAAACTGGCATGAACGGTAAAGGAATTTGTTGCCTTGAATCAGCAGCTCAAAGATATCATCAAGGACATATTTCTTACTTTTACTTCTCTTTTCACTTCTGTCATGTTGGCTTTAAGACTAACTCTCCTGGTTGCAGGATGGCTGCCTGCTGCTGCTGAAGCTACATGCTCCTTTGTTCACATCCATCTGGACAGAGAGAAAAGGAAAGGGGATGACTTTCTTTCAACATTTCTAACAAAATGCTGAGACCCTCTCTGCTTTGGACTAGTTTATGCAAATGCCCATCCCCAACCAATAACCATGGCCGGGGGATGGGGTGCATTGGTTGGCTTAGGTCAGTCCATCTTCAGCCAGTGGTCTGAGGGAGGTCACCTCCCCCGAACCTCATGGACTTCTGAGTGCGAACGGGCTATGGAAGGAGGGATGAGGGACTGGATGCTGGAGAGGCCACTAGATGCTCTGGTACAAAGTAAGTGTGTTGTTTTAAAATCATCATTATTATTCAGGAAGTAATAATTTAGTAAAAGTCTGCAATGTGCCAAAGGCGTACCTAGGGTGTCACATTTGATTCTCACAACTTTAAAAGATAGATGTGGTTATCCCCTTTAGTGGAGGTAAAAACTGCCGCTCAGGAAGGGTAACTTCTCCAAATTCAGAAAAGCTACTTAGTGGCAGAGCTGGCAATCAAATCCAGGATTTCCTCAAAACCTATGCTATTTGTCCTAATAATTACTTTTTTCTTTCTGAGGAAAGGAGTGAACCAGGGAAAATACCAAGAGGGGTTGGTGTGAACTGGGAGAATTAGGAGGTTAAGAGATTTGCAAGTGACATGAAGTTTTCCACTCACTTAACAGATCATAACAACTGGCCAGACGGAACAGGGGACCTTTCTGCTGTCAAAAAGATGAAAGCATCTTCAAAGATTAAGGCCAGTCTCTAAGGAAAGAAGGATACGTCTTCTGTCCCCAAATGCCTTACCATCTTTAAAATGCACTTCTATACTTTATAGGAGTTTGTAATTTGTGGAGGGAAATCGTTTGGTGCCTTTTTCAGATTGTTGACTTTGTCTATGCAAAAATGATTCCTGATATAAATGCATTTTTAAGTCTCAATCAATACCTTTTAGCCAGTGATTTAAAACATTTTTAAGAATGGAAATTAACATACTTTATGATTATACTTTTTGTTTCTGGAAGGGTGTTTGAAAGATGAAATAACTTCTCCCAAAACGTTTAACTGTAGAGGCAGACAACAAATCTAAATTGTGGCATCATTACAATTCTGATAACCAGAGTCATACAGTGATATATTTTACCTTGCAAATACTTTGGATCAATAAAGCTTTATGGCAATTATCGACATGTGGTTTGTTTTGTTCATGAAGTCCAATTTGTATAAACCCTTTTAATCCAAAAGAAAAATGAAATTATGTGTAGTATTATTTTTTGCAGTGATTGATGTGTGTCTTGATATTTTTTTAATCCAAAGTAGTCCCTCTTCTCCATGTTTTTCCTTTTGTTTGCAAAAAATATTTTTAATTAAGTTAAATGTATTAGGGTTCAATATTTTGCCTTTAATTGATCCTTTCTGACAGTTATCCTGGTTTCTGAAATGCCCTTTATAAACTTCTTACGTTCATTTTTTGTCTTAATCATTGAAGTTTTGAATGGACTTATTCACTCATGCAGTGTAGTAGATATTTCCCTTTCTTTATCAGTAACTCTCAGTTCTAAGTGCCTGTATATGACTGACCAAGCTTTGGGGTGGCCCCCTGAATCTGCCGCTTTATCGGATTCCCAAAGCAGGGCTGGGACTTGGGCCGGGGTAATGAGATGCCTAGCGTGCAGAGTTGCCCCCGAGAGTGAGCACAACCTTAAATTTTGGGTCTGCTACTCATGTGGAAAACCCAGAAATCTTCCTTTCCTTCTAGACGAGGATTTAACACTGGGCTTCTGGGCACGATAATATCGTAGTTAACCAACAGTCACAAGCCATGTGAGAGGGTAGGGCAGCCCTAACACAGGTTGGTGCAGAAGACAGAAGAGGTGAGGCTGGCTTTTCAAATTAGTAATACCTCATGCTGATGGCTGCGAATGCCTGTTATGTCTCCATAGTGTTGGTATTTGTTTAGTTTTGCTTAGGGCATGGAGCCCACCATCCACATTAAGTTAACTACAACTCCTTGTTAGACCTTGTTAGACCATTCCCTGGACAGTCCATCATTACCTATATTCTAGAATCAATTTCCGGGACCTCTGGATGTATTATAAGTGTCCCATCAACAGAGTTCTTTTGCGAGCACACTTAGTAAATTTTGCTGTAGAATGAATATTTCTGAATAGGCTTCATCATTCACTCAGGGAATACTCTGGAGCCGCTACTATGTGGTCAGCATTGTGGTAGAAGTTGGGCATGCGGTACTGAAAAGCAGAATACACAGAATACACATGGACCTTGCCCTCATGGAGCCTGACAAAGAGATTGATAGAGACAAAGGGAGAGAACCATGAATCAGTCCACACAGATAAATTTAAAATTCCCAAATGCTCTAAGTTCTATAAAGGGTCAGGTTGCAGTGCTATAGGCATATAACAGAAAGAAAAAGACATCTAGAGGAAAACAAAAATAATTCTATAATTATTGATGTTAGAAGAATTTGTTGACAAAGCTAACCCTTGTGGGTGCTGTCCCTCCCCCACACACTGCTCCTTCGGTCCATGGCTTGTGTTAATTCAGATCCCTTGAGAAGCAGATGCCAAAACAATATGGTGTGCATGAGACTTACTGGGGAATCTGCCTGTGGAGGGTAAAGGGCAGAGAGCCCAAGAAGGCAATGAGAGGTTTCCCTGTGATTCACGACCAACACCTGTAAAGAGGAGGAAAGGGAAGTGTTGGCAGGAAGCATCTCGGATTGCTGCAGATTGATAGCTTTTTAGGCCAGGCTCACTGCAAGAGTGCATTCAGTCACATGGGGCAAGGGGATGCCAGGAGACACTTGGTGGGCTACCTGGGTTCCCCATGTGCTCCTCCCCATCCCCACTGCCAGAGCGACTGTTATAAGTAGCTCTCAGACTCCTCTGGCTAGTGATGGTGACTCCTGGTGGCTGGACACCCAGTCCATAGGACCCTGGAATCAGCTGTAGTTTGTAATTCAGCAGGACCTTGCTGTGCCCCCTGGCAAGAGTTACGCCCTTTGGGACCAAGACCTCCCATGCCTCAGGGCCTGGAATTGTCAGAATGGGAAGCACAAAGTCCCACCATGGACCTTTAGGAGGATGGTAAGTAGGGCCACTTTCTCTTTTGCTCATTGGTTCCCAGAGATGTTCCAAAGCCACTGGGGACCCCCATCCTGACAGATGGTACTCCATCCTTTCTGAGCCAGCTGTGACTTGGCTGTTCTAGTCCTCTGAGCCTGGCTGCTTCTGGAAGTGTGGTGTGTGATGCAATCAATGGTTCCATGATCAGGGACCCATGCACACACCTCTCTTACTGGTTGGGTGCTGTACTAGGTTGGGTCTATGCCTGTGGATTAGGCTTTGTGCAATAAGCCGGACAGTGGTGGCACCTGAGTCCCTGTGAGCAGGGAAGGCAAACTCTTAACCTGAAATGAATATCCATCACTATGAGGAGTGATAGAGGTGCCACATGATCATCTGAACAGGGAAAGTTTAATATAACAAATTATTAATTACAACAGGGGCTCGAAGTAATGAGGGGTTGGCTAGTAGGAAGTAAAGAGAATGTTAAAGAATATGGGAATAGCAGTTATGAAGAACGGCTACTCATCTCCTAGGATTGAGATGAAGAGCCCTCCCTGCCCTCCCACCCTCTTCCTGGCTGACACCCAGACCTTGTTGGTGGGGCATCGCCCAGCTCACTCGATGGTTGAGCAGTCACTGGGGTGTGCTGCTGGTGGAACTTGCCTGAAATCTGCCATCTAGGGTGCCAGGGGACAGACACTGTGCCTGGGAGGTGTCTCGCCAGAGTCTTCTGCTACACAAGGACCTGAGGGAGATGTCAGGGGACCTTCCTGCTGCTGCCCACCAAGCACCACCACCGCCTGCACTACAGCAGTCTACGCACACAACCCTGACCTCCCACGGTGTCTCTCCATCGCCCTTTCCTGACAAAGCCTCAGTGCCAGCAGGCAAAGGGAGAATAAAGGGCCTGGACATATTTTCACAGAACTGAGAGGCAATGAATCTGTAACCAGCCCACTGGCTGCCTTAGCATCAACCAGCCTGTTGCTTTCCTTAAGGAACAGTGTCAGCCCTGACTGGTGTGACTTAGTGGGCTGGGCATCATCCTGTAAACTGAAGGATTGCCAGTTCGATTCCCAGTTGGGGCACATGCTTGGGTTGCGGTCCAGGTCACCACTTGAGGGCATGCAAGGGGCAACCAATCAATGTCTCTCTAGCACATCAATGTTCCTCTCCCTCTCCTTCTCCATCCCTTCTCTTTTCTATAAATTTTTTTTAAAGGTACAGCACCATACTGGGGCTCAGTGTTGGTCTCTGCGTGGACAGGATGGACATTCAGAGGCCGCTATAACTACATTGGCTTTGGTTAAGTTGGAGCCCATGATATTGGGCCAGTTTGCAGTTTTTCTTTTTTCAAAAATATATCTTATTGATTATGCTGTTACTGTTGTTCCATTTCCCCCCTTTATTCTCCTCTGCCCTGCACACCCCCTCCTACCCTCATTCCTCCTTTTTAGTTCATGTCCATGGGTCCTACATATAAGTTCTTTGATTTCTACATTTCCTATATTATTCTTAACCTCTCCCTGTCTATTTTCTGCCTACCATCTATGCTACTTATTCTCTGTACCTTTTCCCCCCTCTCTCCTCCTTCCACTCCCACACCCCCGCTGATAACCCCTCATGTGATCTCCATGTCTGTGATTCTATTCCTGTTCTAGTTGTTTGCTTAGTTTGTTTTTGTTTTTGTTTTAGGTTCAGTTGTTGATAGCTGTGAGTTTGTTGTCATTTTACTGTTCATATTTTTATCTTCTTTTTCTTAGATAAGTCCTTTTAACATATAATAAGGGCTTGGTGATGATGAACTCCTTTAACTTGACCTTATCTGAGAAGCACTTTTTCTACCTTTTCACTCTAAATGAAAGCTTTGCTGGATGGAGTAATCTTGGATGTAGGTCCTTGCCTTTCATGACTTGGAATACTTCTTTCCAGCCCCTTCTTGCATGCAAGGTTTCTTTTGAGAAATCAGCTGATAATCTAATGCAAACTCCTTTGTAGGCAACTCTCTCCTTTTCTCTTGCTGCTTTTAAGATTCTCTCATTATCTTTAATATTGGCTAATGTAGTTATGATGTGCCTTGGTGTGTTCCTCCTTGGGTCCAACTTCTTTGAGACTCTCTGAGCTTCCTGGACTTCCTGAAAGTCTATTTCCTTTGGCAGATTGGGGAAGTTCTCCATTATTTTTTTTCCAAATAAGTTTTCAATTTCTTGGTCTTTCTCTTCTCCTTCCAGCACCCCTATGATTCAGATGGTGGAATGTATGAAGATGTCCTGGAGGTTCCTAAGCCTCTCCTCATTTTTTTGAATTCTTGTTTCTTCATTCTGTTCTGGTTGAATGTTTCTTTCTTCCTTCTGGCCCACACCGTTGATTTGAGTCCCAGTTTCCTTCCCATCACTGTTCTTTCCCTGTACATTTTCCTTTATTTCACTTTTCATAGCCTCCATTTTCCCCTCTAATTTGTGACCATATTCAACCAATTCTGTGAGCATCCGGATTACCAGTTTTTTGATGTGCATCTGATAGGTTGGCTCTCTCCTCATCATTTAGTTGTATTTCTTTTGGAGCTTTGATCTGTTCTTTCATTTGGGTCATTTTCTTTTCTCTCTTTTTTTTTTTTTTGTCTTGGTGCACCTGTTACATAGAAAGCGGCGGAAACTTAGGTATTCACAAGGGCGGGGCAACACATCATTGTGTTGTGATGCTGTATGTGGGGGAGGGGTCTGAGAGAGAGGGAACAGTGCTGCTTGCTCCACTCTCTGCCAGTTTTCAGTCACTTCCCCCACTACCCACAATCAAAGTGGGCCCTTCTGGTGCTGATTCCCCAGTGAGCATGTTTGTGTACATTCTAGGACCCTGTGGGTCTCTCCAACGAACTCTCCTGTGACGCTGGGAGTTTCTTCCACTGCCTCAACCTACCTCAGGTGTTTTCAGTCAGAGGCTTCGAGGCTTTATTTCCCTGGGCTGGGACCCTGGGTTGCACAGTCTGTCTCACTCCCTGGTTGTTCCTCTCAGTTTATTTGCATGAATCTGTGGGACTGCCCGCTCCACCAGTTGCAGTCTTTCCCACCCAAGTCTTCCAGCTGCCACCTTGCCATGAGT